AGCGCGAAGTAAGTCCGCGACTTGATATGGAAAAAAAATCTATTGTCTTTTTATATTTAAACGAGCCATTCGAAATCTATTATAAAGACGAAAGATTTTATTATTTGTTTGTATTAAATATTACCAAAAATGCTGAACCGATTTCTGAATTTCTTTTACCTACGAGAGTTACATGATACGCGGGTGACATAGAATAAATTTGATGGAGTTTTAACTGCTAAGCATAAAGCAAAGTTTTTTTTAAAATCATACTTTAATTATAGTATAAGGGAATTATAAATTATGCCATTTTTTTTTATTCGGACCAAGAGCTTATTGTCGGTGACCGGCAACAATGGTGCTTTCCTCGTGTAGTTAAATGAATTATCCCAAGTTAATTAACAGGAAACCTTTGGCTTTATTTATTTATTTATGGCACGTAACAGATTACAATCAGTTCCATTATAGATAGTTTCAAAAAGTTAAAGCTCATACAGAACATAACTCAACAACATGTGTCTATTGTGACAACTGATGTTATTTTACAATTTAACTTCACAATTAATCAAAATTTAACATTCGAAATATAATTAAACAGTATTATAATTTAAAATAAAATAATAAATTATTACATTAAAATTAATCAAACAAAATTAATTAAGGTATTAAACAAATTAATCATTACATTTCTTATTTTAATAAATAAGTTACTTTTTCAATTAAATATATCAATGTCAGCATTATGTTTAATGAGTTCAGTGCATTGACGGCACACACGGTCTATCGGAGTAAAGTAAGAAGTGTTATTGCGTTATACGTTCAGCGTGAATATCCTTTGATTACGAAAACGGCGGTTAGTGGTGAACCGGCTAAGTGAAAGAAGGCAAGGAGAGTCAATATAACGATGTAAAATCTTATGCAAGTGACAATTTTGATAATGAGAACCTCTTTAGACGTTTGTCATATGTATCACATTTCCGAATGAGGTTGTATCTAAAACAAAGTATTCTGAGAGCTCGTCTTTGAATCTGCTCGATACGGTTAATGGGAATAACATAATATGGGGACCATATAAAAGAGTTATACTCCAGTAGGCTACGGATGAGTGCATAATACAAAGTGATGATACCCTTTCTCGTTTATAAAAGCTTTCGTAGATCTACTTATTAAACTTAGATTGTGTGAGATTCTACCTATTATATAGTCATAATGTTTGTGAAATGAAAGATTCGCATCAAACAGGATACCCAGATGTTATACCGTTGAAATTTATTTTATTTAACTTTCGAGTAAAAATAATGATTTGATATTTCGCAACAATTAGGACCATTTTGTGCACACTATTGTGAAATTGTGTCAAAATCACGTTGAAGACTTAAAGCATCCTGTAGACTAGTTACTTCAATGTTTTCATTAGATTTTCATGTCATCAGCATATAACAATCATTGAAACTGCTAAAGATCACCCAAGTCATTTAAAAAATAATAAAGAAAAGAGGTCCAAAATGTGACCCCTGTGGCACTCCAGAAGTAATTAAGACAGGTGAAGATGTTTATACCTTTTAAAGCAACGTACTGTTTTCTACGCAAGATATAAGACTTCAGCCACCACAACAAACAGTCATGTACACCTTAGGCTTCAAAATTTTCACAGAGAATGAAATGATCAAGCTTATCAAATACCTTCGAAAAACGATGTATATTGCATCTAATTGCTTATTCTGAGCAACAGCAGAAAATAAATAATTTTTATATTTCATTATGTTACTTCTTCCTAATGAAACAGTGCTGCAAAGACAAGTGTAAGGGCTCTACATTAATATCTATATACAAAGCGGTGCAGACAAGAGATTCGAATATTTTAGCGATGTATGACAACAAACTAATAGTTGGTAGTTTTTGAATTGTGACTTGTCTTCTGAATTATGAATGAGAACAATGTGTGCGATCTTCCAATGATTAGGAAAAACACCCGAGCGCAGTGAAGCATTGTTGAAAAGCTAAGTGGGCGGAGTAGTAAGCAATTCTCCGCATTTCTTTACGAACAATAGTGGAATACCAGCGGGACCGGAGCCTATTAATGCTATTTTTTTAATGTTCAGTATGACTTCAGATTCCTTTATAGACCTACTTATACATAAATTATATTTCTCTGTCTGAAGTCTATCATGAGACAATAAAACAGATGAAGCATCATCAGTCGCCTCCTCAAAAACCGAACTAAAGTATGTTGAAAATAATTCACACAATATTATTACCAGTCGCAATTCTTTTACCGTATTTAACAGATTGAGGAATAAAATACTTAGAATGTCGTCCGTTAGTAACATAACTCCAAAAGTATTTCATGTTATCAGGCAAAGCGGACAAACGTGTCAAAATCTAGCGTTTGTTTGTCCCATTTTAAGTAGGACTAAATAGGACTTTACTACCATCTCATTAGTCATGAACTAGAAGTCTTAAATATATTAATACGTTTAAATTATTTTGTCGTCAAAAAAGATAGTAGTAAAAAAAACTATTATGAGATAATTTAGGAATATAGACACATCTTGATTTATTTGTATTATAAAAATCATAAATAGGTTATTAGTATTTGTAAAATTTGTATTATCTACACAAACTTTCTGTTGCGTGGATTATTTCGGACGATGATACTCGAATGTTCTTTCTTATTTAATATAAATTAAATTTTTCTTTAAATTGTAATCAGTTATTTGGTAAGCTTTCATATAATGTTTTTAACAACATACTAAAGAATAACTTGGTAATACAGTCGGTTGTTTGTATTAAAAAAATACGATGTTCTATAAAAATGAAGGCAAAAATTTTTTTGTGGCGAATTTTAGCAGATTAATCATTTAAATATTTAATTGGACTGCAGTATAACTCGATGTGATATTGTTTCAAATCGGTCCGTCTTTATACATAAAAATAAAAGTAAAATAATATTTGTGATACAGATACGTAGAGGTGACTCCTTATAATATAAAAAGATACAACAATAATTAATTCATGTCTGTATCTATTAAAGTAAATTAAAGTAAAATGTGTTAGATAACAGATTAAGATGCTGTAAATGTTACAATTTGTGAGGCACTCTTTGATACAGTATTTTCGAAGTGTTTTTTCTTATTTTGGGCCACTATAATGATGATAGAAGCCACTAAAATTACTTAATTAATTTATTAGATAAATTTTCTTAAATATTCGAATAAAAAGTGCTGTTATATATATACTCACATTGACGTGATGTGATTTAAACAAAAATATATGAGGTTTAGCTAGGCTTTATATTCTCACCATATTGTTAAAGTTATGTTATATTAATTGAGAATTTAGAATAAAAAATTAAAATAATTATTAAAATCTTGTACAAACACAACGAAAGTATTTCTCAAAATTACATAAATAAGTATAATAAATGACACACTACACTCATAATGAGCTTTAATTCTGAAGTCTTTCTTTATCTCAACGAAAACTTGAAAATTATTTTCATCTTCATAGTCGTAGATTTACATATATTTCATCAGTTATAATATCCCGCTCACGCCACAAGCTAGTCCCAAACAAAGTCACAAATAGACAATTGTATTTTAATTGTATTCTGAAATCCCTCTAGACAAGTGGGATGTTTTTATTTTTGCTTTAAAAATGTAAATTATATCTGCATGTTTTTCATAATCAAACATGACTCTGGGCTATTTGTTTTGAATGTTTTGAATTATTGTTCTTTATTTTCTGTTCTGTATATTTTTGATCACCATTAGAGCTACAATAATTACCTATTGACGCTAAATGTACAATGTGCATATTATATTTCGTATGTACCTTGAATTTTTTCGTTAAAGAAACTCTGTAGGCGGGTTGTATAAATATGTAAGAATTGTGTAAAGATGAAAAAAAGTGAAGTGATTTGTATGATAATGCAAATTAGGTGATTTATTTATTCACAAATGTTGTAGTAATAACATACCCACAATGTAGGTAAGTTATTACTACAATATTATTTGTAAATTATCACGGATTGAAATCGATGAAATTTATTAAACATAAGATAAATATTTTCCTTTCTTAAAAAAAAAAACTTACACGCTAAAGAAATACTTAATATTCTGTTGAAAATGTATCGTAAGCGATAATTAATCATTGACAAGACGGTCAGTACAACATGTTACAAATGAATACACTTTACAACTTAAGCTTAAGCCCATACAGATTAAGTTATATAAATATTACGTCATTCCAATGAAATTACCTACATACACCCAGAATTTATAATCTCCTTTTTAAAATTCGCTTTTAAGTAGCTTACATTTTATTAGTTTTATATCTTCAAATCTATTGAACAATCCATTGCAAAAACTTGCAAAAACTTAAAAAAAAATCATTGCAATCCGATGTGATTATTCCATTTATTAAAGGGAAAACTGCTTTTTTTTTACGCCTGCCTCTCTTAGGCTCATTTAGCTTTGATTATATTCAATAAATTATTACTGATAATAATTTAGTATCTCAGAGATGCCAGTATAGGAAACTATAGATTAAGTCATACGGGCATTTTAGTGTTACTTTATTTAGTTATTAAGTTATTCATGTCGCGTGATTTGTTTTTATCAGTTAAAATGTCCTGTAAACTTTAAATAAAAACAAGTTTTAAAATAGAGTTCGTTAATTCGTAAATTTGATACGTTGTCTTTAAATTACAGGTAAAAATTAAATTATCGTTACACTAATTAATGAAAAGGCACGAATCGAAATCGAAAGAAAATAACCATTAGTGAAACTAAATTATCGCCTAATAAAATGAAACCTAACCTAAAACAGTGTTGGCGGGAAAATTTCCCGGCCTGTCAAAACTCAATTTGTCAAGTCAAACACGGTAATGGTGGCGTTAGGGGTGTCAGGACGCAAAATATAGGTTTACCGCTAAAATAAATGGGAACGTTCTCTAATATCACAGACGTAGGGTTCAGAATCGTTACGTGATAATTTGGGGATGATGATGATGAGTCGATATGAGGTACTGGGGATTAAATTGTGTAAATAGGGATTAGGTAGATAAGCTGTCCATTGTTTGAGAGTGACGAGCGGCTGCCGTTTAACGCTGCTGCTGGCATCGAGTATATGTATGATGTGTGAATTATTATATCAGGAAATTTAATTTATTGTCACAAAAACACAATGGATTTTTCGTACACAATTTTTTTAACGGGACGATGATTTTTTACGTTGCGTGATCATTTGGGTCTCGGCGAAAAGTATTAGGTGTTTAATTTTTCTAATTATCTTTGAATGACGGTTTCAGACAAAAGATCCAGGAAGATAAGACACTTTTAATTGAAAATTTACTCAATCCAACGCAATAATTGTAACAAATGCCTCATATGCTCATACTTATAGTGTTATTCTGACTTCAGAAAATAATAATTTTAATTTGAGTTACGACTACTTTAATCAACTTTTTGCAGAACCTTACGTTTGTGAATAGATGTCTGTAGTGGACCATCTGTCCTCTACATGAAAAGTTTAGATGATTTATTAAATAAAACAATAGTTTCTGAGGGTTGTTCCATGTAGCCACTTCTGGCATCTGATATGTATATTAGTTGCCTACTGAATTTAGAATGCATCCGATTGATTAAGTATACTGTGTCAATATCAAGCACAAGTATGTTAAGTTCGTTTCGTAGGATAATCTTCAACGGATTGAGACATTTTGTGACTGTATTAGTTGCAAGTTTTTTGAAAACGAGGCGCCTTACCAACTGCGGCATTAATATGTATCACATTTAGTCTGCATATTAGGCATCGTCGGATAACAAATAGCGATGGAATAAAAACGGAAAGCGACTTTGTCACTTTCTGTCTGTCTGTCCCTGTGTATGCATAGATCTTTAAAACTACGCAACGGATTTTGATATGATTTTTTGAATAGATAGGGTGATTCCAAAGGAAAGTTTTTTTTGTATAATTCAGGCCAACGCGGACGAAGCCGCTGGCGGAAAACTAGTTCCTGGTTAAAGGTTTTTAGCCTTAGATAGATCGATTAAAACGTTAGACCCACGAGTATTTGCTCGTCAATAACGTTCTTTATTGACTGAGTTTTTCAATTTGATCTGTATGTGTAAAATGGACGAAAAATAACATTAAGTGTTTAATGACTATTAAATGATATTTAAACGATTCGAGAATTTTTAACATCAATCGAGATAATGAACACTTGGTAAGATTGCCGGCTCAAAGAATATTGTGAGTAATATACAACGCTACAGTGGAAGGATGTAGAACCCGGGAAGGCAAAGTCACATTAATCAAGCTGGTCACGTGTTATCGGAAGGTGTCAGTCATAAAGTAGCGAAAAGGCATATATAAAGTAAACTAAATAAAATTAAATATGCAAAGTAAAATTGAAATAAACAGTTCTTGTCGGGTTATTTCTTGGATCTTCTTAGAGGAAGACCTTGACCCCCGCTATAGCGTACTAGTGCTCGTAACAGCCTAGACTGAATAATGAATAATAATATCCATTATTCCTTATCTTCGGCTATGATCTTGACTCCTTGGTACGACACGACGCTTACTTTTTTTTTCACTTAGTCAAAGTAGCTGCGTTTAGGTCTTCTTCTTCCTCTTTTCCCTTCTATTTAACTTCTATGATGTTTGATAGTCTTTCCTGTCTTAACAAGTGTCCTAGTATCTTTCCCCTCCTGTTCTCTATAACGTTAAACAGGCTTCTCCTTTCGTTCATCATTATTAAAACCTCCTCATTGGTCTTCCTTTCAACCAACAACAATGATACTAATACTTGAGAATTAACAATATGATATTTCTTGCAGATCGAATTCATCCGGTAGCAGTATAAACTCGCCGCTCGGTCCGGGCGCGTCTTGCGGCATGGCGGCGAATCCGTACGCCGTGCCGCTGTACGGCGGCGCGCCGGTACAGGGGTACGGGTGTGCGCCAGCGGATCTGCCGCACTATGGCGACATGCGCGGCGCCGGATGGTACCCCGCCTCCAACGACCCCAGGTTTGCCAGTGAGTCGGCGGATTTATTTTTCGACAAGTTTTTCATTTTTAATAGACTTAATGGTTATATCTTCAGTCTTCTCTCGTCTAAATTTTAAGGTATAGTCTATATATCGAATGACTTATGGTTCAATGATGGGCCAACTCATAATTGAATTGCTATTAAGGCTATTTTCATCGTCAATTATTACAAAAAAATTATGCCGTGCATACGGCATAGAGCAAGAATGATCTGAGCGGTCAGGGATTATAAAAATGCCCGAAATTACAATATATATTAACATTGTTATGTTTGTTTTAATAGAAGTAAACAAACCGTAGCTATGACAAAAAACGGTTATCAACCTCCGCGTACATTATTAGATTTCTTACATAACTAGCAACGTGTTTATAGCTATCTTTTAATTGCTAAAAGTGAATGTGATTCACCGTGACGATTCTAATATTACATTTTGTACACTGACTACATTTTTTTCCTGTGTATGTTCATTATATTATTACGTTGCCTGGAAGAAATCGCTGAAAAGAGATAAACCCGCTACTGTCTAATTATGAATGTTTAAGCTTTATTGCGCAAATAAAAATGTACAAATGGTGGACTTAATGTCATTAATTACCAATCAACTGGAGAGTAGTAGCAAAGAGCTTACCTACGAGTAATTAAGTCAAAACACGGTCTATTTCAATATTGATTGTGACGCATTCATTGCTAGTGAATGACGCGAGTCGCTATTCCATACATGACCCGTATAAGTGGGTGTCAGGTTTCATGTGCCAATTCCATCACAAGCTTAGTACACTGATACATGTCAGAGGGACCACACTCAATCTTAGTTTAACTTGTATTATATTACGGGACGTTATATTTGTAGAGAATGTGTATCACTAAGTGCGGTGGTCAATAAAATCATTATGAACAGTAGAGGGCCAAGGCTTGTTCCTTTAGGCACATGATAAGTTTTAGATGATGACTTAGCACTGTCCTTAAACAATTTCCTCGAAATCCGTTTTTGCGCGATACGGTTACAAAATACATACATCCATCGTCACTTTCGTATTTATTGTATAATTGATATCAGTCAGAGTTAAGACTATTGTTTTTGTCATGCCATGGAACTCTCTATAGCCGATACGTCGTTGATCATTACCATTTATCCGCCTTGTCCCACAATGTCTGATTTTGTTTCTATAACAATAATATATATGAAACAATTATTTAATTATTGATCATAAGTGAACTGTCTTGATAAAGTAGGATACTACAAGTAACTTATTTTTAATACTTTTGAACTTATTACAAGTAAATTCTTATTCCTAAATATTTAACACCCATACGCACAATTGTGGTAAATTTTCTATAGCCTTTTTTAACCACGAGCTGTCATGAAATTATTCAATCGCCATGTTTTTATTGGACGGGCACTGCAGGCGAGCTTAACTTTATCTTATGTCAACACCATTAACTAAGAAAAAAAATACAAAAGATGAACGTGCCCACAACTCTTCGGTAGCGATAGATTAACAAAAATATCGAGTAGACACACGCTTCAAGTCGTATTTTAATGCCTAACAAATATTTATGAACTATAAGAATGTCTACATCTTATAAATTTCTTTAAATTTTCGGTATTAAGCAATTTCCATATTAAGAATAGTTTAAAAGTTGTCAAATATGTTAAATATTAAGTTTTTCAGCTAATGCAATGACTGCTATTTTTCATTCAGAATGTTTTAGAAAAGATTTATTCATTTGCGAAAAAGAAATAAGATGAAGATCAAAATAAATATTATTTACTCAATAACAAGTCCTATTCTGCTGAAAAATAAAGGCATCAAACATTACACAAACTCATTGCAAGACGCAAATTGACTAATTCAGTCTGTAGTTATTCTGTGTCTTTATAAATTTAGAACATATATTGCAAAATTTCATTGACAAAATAATATAGATGTATAATTAATTATAATATTTTTTTGATGAAGACATAGATTGGTCGGTCTATAGAATATGAAAGCGCAAATTAATTGAAATACTTGCATGCATCATGCATATGCATCAATGTCGCATCTACTTGGTAATAATTGATCTGTGAGTAATTTGATAATGCGTACGGGAGCAGTAGTCTGTGAGCTCAGGTGATCTTAATATTTGACAAAGATAATGGAAATTAGACGAACAGTTTGTTTATTTACATTAACGAACGTATTACTGAAGACGACAGAAAGAGTTAAATAATAAAGTTATAGCAAAACGAATCTATAAATATATACACATCTCGGATTTTCGAATAAAAACATTTAAATAGTAATCATTTAAATAATTTGAAATACTAAAACAACTAAATCTAATGTAAATAATTATTAAGCGCAAGTTATCAGATCTCAATATCATCATTGTTGAAATAAACTTTTTATCCGTGAAACAAGTCTAATACAAGTGTTTTGTCCTTAAAACTGATTTACGTTCTTAAGACGTGTTATGTTAATAAGAAAACATTTTTTTAAATTTATTTATATTGTCTACCTATTTGTCACGAATTTGGGTCGTTGTTACTTTAGTTGTTTCAGATTTTCCAATAACAAGTGCTTTAACTACTTGGTTTCAGAGCAATATATGTAATAATGCCTGTAAAGTTAACAACATTAATTTAAGTCAGCAAGATTACGTTTATTTCCTAAAATAGGTATATGAAACTAAAATAAACTTATCAAAACAAGAGTTCTAGGGAACCACTCCGGCAATCAATTACTTGTTCCAAACTAATTTCAAAAGAACCCTTGAAACACTGACCTGACACCCAACACCACTCAGAACGGTAGATAATGCAAACTGACTAAGAAATTCAATCTGAATTTCATAGAAACCCGGTAGTCTCACCCGAAGAGAAAGTCCAAACAGAACTAAGCAAATACCGAGTCTATGTATGTACCAGACCTTTCTCATATCTCCATAGAGAACGGGGAGAATCGAAGAGTAATCTGTATATAATTAGACGTTAAATCATTCGTCATAGTAGCCTATAATGTGAAGTCCTCTATAGTTGGATTAACAAAAATCATGATTATACTATGAATAAAAATGACGTAAACCTACTATTGATTTTACAAGCTTAGCAGGGTTAAATCTTAAAATTTATACACCTTCCTAGGTAAACTAACGCAACATAACAGTAAACCCGTCATGAATGAACAATGGAGCCATTACGATTACAACGGGATATATTTACGAGTGATTAGACCTCGAACAGAAATTATGGCACGCTTCCGTAGCGATAAGCATCTTGAGCACGGATTAAAACGGTAAAGATAAGTACAAAAAACTGACAAATAGAATGTAATAATGCAAGAAAAAAGTGGCCCCAGAATGCTACCCAGAGGCATCCCGTGTTCCGTACCTGCAGGACAAGGGAGCGTGTAGGCAGACAAAATAAGCAATTCCGTTCGATCGGTCCTATGTTTGTCCACCACTAGAGTCTTGGCTGCGTAAACAGTGCGCCTCACGTCCGCAAATAGCGTAAGGTCGATGCAGTCGGAGGCTTTAACTCAAAATATTTTTATCTGTAACGGAGTTTATAGATAACAATAAAATGCTATATTATTAAAAATATTACATATTACTATGCTATTGATATTATAAATGTGAAAGTTTCTTTGTTTGGATGTTTAGAAGTTTGTCGGTCAATCACGCCGAAATTTCTGAACGGATTTTGATTAAATTTGGTATGCAGATAGGGTATTAGCTGACTTAGATAATAGGATTTTATCCCACTGAACAGTTCCCGAGGGTCCACGCGGGCGAAGCCGCTGGCGAAAGCTAGTATTATATAAATATTAGACATGAGTGATTAAATATTCGTATTATCCATAACGAAAAACTATACTTAGATAATATCAAATCTTCGTCAAATATTTGGCATTCATCAGGAAAGAAAATAAGTGTTTCTTCTGATTGTCATGCATAATTAAAAAAAAAACTCTAGTACTTACTATTATGTATACTCAAAACTGTTCCAATGAAAAAATAAACTTACCATTAGGTAAGTTCTTCATAATAATTTTTTATTTTTTCAATTAAAAAACTGCCAAATCTAATTTGGAAAACAAAAGTGGTCGATGTTGTTACTTCATATGGTGGGAGTGTCCACTGCGAGGACAATATGGCGGAGGACGTATGTGGTTGTCTCGTATTAAAAACGGCGTTTGAGGGAGACACATAAAAGCCACTTGTTGTACGCTCATTTGACCTCGAATATTAGTTCCAAAATTTGATTCTGAGAAATTAAAAACATGTTTAAGTAACACCGCAAAAGTAATAATAGCGGTCAATTATGTTTGCTTATTAACATAAATAAATAACACAGGCCTGCGATAAGTTTCACCTTAAAAAAACTGATTAGCAATTTGGGTATGTTTTAGGCACTAAGTTATAAAGAAATATATCCATCACATTTCCCAATTTCTTTGATAATTTAACATGCATGGTAATAGTGGTTGTAGTACTGATTACATTTAAATATTAATTTACCCTCATTAGTCATTGTTTGTCGTTATTCAAATCCCATTGCGATTTATGTGAATCAACTGTGGTGTGTTTTTGTTGTGAAAACCGAAGCAATGCTTGAAATTTATTTAAAGAAGTAGTGAAACATTTTTCAGGAAATACAAAAAGCTCAGATTATGATAATATAGTTAAAAACAAAAAAAAGTAACCGACTTTTAACTTAAAAAAAAATATTCAAAAAAATGCGATTGTAGTCGGGCGGGTGGAGGTCGAGGCTTTTATAGGTTATTAATTAAATGATAAGCGCCCAACTTCAATAGTATTATCTGGAACAAGTAGCTTTTGAGATAAGTATTATTTATAATTTTATTAAATTTTGAAATCGATTCCATTTTATTTTAAGTTTTTTTTCATGGTTTTTTGTGATATTGACATTTTTTAAATATAATTATTAACACTATAAATATTAAATAATAGAAAAATATTTATAGTGAAAGTCTCCGAAATAAAGTTTTGTTTATTTGCTGGGCATAATGTTTTTCAATAATTCTATACTCATATTATAAAGAGAAAATAATTGTTTGCATTGGATAGGCACCGAAGCTATTGGATCGATTTATGAAAGTCATTAATCTACAGGGAGCTACATAAAACGCGTTGAACATAGGCCTTAATTTACGCAGGCGAAGTCGCAAGGAAACAGCTAGTATGATAGAAATTGATTCACAATTCAAGAAGAAATCGATTAAGATACCTGCTTTCATAAAAAATATACATACTTGTTGAACATAGAAAATTCACCTTTCGGATTTTGAATGAATTCCACATACGCAATCTTTTGTTTTTTAGCTGGAAAGGGCCATGTCCATATCAACAAAATATTTGGGCGATATTTGATGAAACCGTATTTTGTTTTGTTATAAAAGGAAACTATTAATTCGATTGCGATATAATTTAAATGGGTCAATTAAAACTGTCGAATAAAAGAATTTTGAAAATCGGGTAACAATTGGCGGATATATCGGTGAATGTACATAAAAAACATCGTCGGCGAACATATAGCTTCCTACTTTTGGATTTTGATCTCGGTTAAAAATATGGTCACTAACTTTCATAATAGTGCGCGTGAAAATATAAGAAATTAATAGATAAAGAACAATATAAATCGCGATTGCTTGGTCAACTTTTAATTAAACTCACAGCCATTAAAATTGAAATTCACAGTTTAAATTGAGCAGATTGCATGTGTACTAATGAAAAAAACATTGGAGGTTGATATATAATGAATATGTCGTAGCCAACTAGGTAAAAGATCCATCTTATTAGGCGAGCACTATTATAGAATAGCGCCATTCATTTGTATGGCTAAACGTCGATCAGCTGTGTAATCATCACAATGTCCTTCGACGATGAGGCTGTACAAAGCCCTGGAAACTAGTTAACTGTCAAGGATCACGATTCGAAACACAATTATTAATAGCAAAATATCCGCAATATTAGAATAAAATTATTTTTATGTTCAACTTCGGACACACTACAACCAAAAGCTATATTTGTTTAATTACGGTACAGTAACAGCTATACACGTAATTAACGGACTAATGTCCAACATGTTTCAGTATTTTATCTCTGAAAATTTTAAAGCCATTTTACCAATTTGAAATATAGATGGAAAGAAAAACAAATTTGAAGTCCACTGAAATCTACACATTTTTTTTAACAAAACGACTAAGCAGTTTAGCCATAAAGCCATCTACTATCATCATCATCAGCCATTTATGTTCACATTGCAGGAGGTCAGGCCTTCCTTATGGATGGTTAAGAAGAATGCGCCATGACCCTTCATACTTGCCCAATGCAGATTAGAGGGTATTAACGACTAAAATGCAGGTGGTACCAACCACTTAACTTGCCTTCCGAAATACGGAGTAGCTTGAGATAACCATTTTTGGACCACCCATCCCGTGACCGACCTTTGCGAAAGTTGCTTAAAACAACGATCGCGATTGCTATGGTAACATTTTGATTCCCCATAAAAACTTCCACTCCCATTTTTATCCCTATAAGTGTAGGTTTTCAGGATGAAACATAACCTATTACCTTTCCATGGTCTTAAACTACATACTCAAATACCAATTTTCATAGATGTAACTCCGAAAATAAAAAAGTTACATACAAAATGGAATTTCATATTATCCGTTCTTAGTACATATCTACGTAATAAGAGGAATGTACCCTCCAATTTCTATTCTCCACGACCAGTGGTTAAGGCTGTGCGTTGTCTGTCAGTCAGTAGTCAGGATATGTATAGATAGATAATGGAAAGAAAGGGTTATATAATGTAGTATTTTTGGTGTTACATGAAATAAACACCGTCAAATCTCATATTTACCTCAAAATGTTATTCAGGTATTAAAATAAAAAATAGATAATCATTCAGCTATTCATAAGTTAAGGTTCCTTATAAATTATACAAGTCTTGTGAAAAGCATTACTGTTTCATAGTGTTCCAAGTTCTAAATTTGATACGAGTACCTTGTGAACTTAATCAGGGATGGAAATAAACTTTCCTTCATTTGCGGCAATTGCTTACTATTTTTATAGTGCTAACTACTTAACTTATAAAGTTGTTTAATTTTTAATATTATTTTTTAAACATTACCTATAAGCAGCTTTACTGGCAGCTTATGTGAAAAGTATTAAGCATTTTTATAATCACTCTGCAATAAGAATACTCTACTATACCTGCAGCACTAAGTGTTGCCAATGCAATACATCAAAGGATGCCAGGCGCACGGTCAGCAAGCCGGAATTAAAACTGCCACGGGGAAAAAATAAGTGTGTGACATACTTAGTTTCCATGTAAGCGAGCCTAATGCGTCGCGAGTGGACGCGTCAGCGGCAGACGGCCGCAGTTTATCTTCCTTTAGTGTGGCAACACTGAGGGAAATGGCCCCGTGAAATGTTTGCTGTTTCGGTCCCACGAACCGCTCGTTCTATTTTTAAATTGTGCAGCTTAGAAATGGAATGCTGGCATATTTTTTTTAAAAAGTAATCGTAATATGACTTTTATAATATAAAAGAAACTAAACACTATAACAGATCAAACATATTTCAAATTATGTTGCAAATGGTCAAGAAACTGTTGTAGCATATATATTTTTTTGTTAAATATTTGGATCTCTGTTCTCTCAGTTCCCATGTCGAATTCCTGCTCGGTTCCGTGCATGAACTACTAATGAATTATGCAAATACGAACTGAATTACCCCGGTGTAAACCTCCTCCGATGCATCCTCACTTTGTGTGAAGGGCCTGGGATCGAGAAGTGAGGGCTCCACACCCAGTTCCCGATACAATCCCGGTCTAGGTCATATACTGGAACCTGGGTATGATGATTTTAGTAATAAGTGCCATGTTGTTGTAGCAACAAATTAATGCGTTACTGTATCATATAATATATTGTACGTGTTTTTTTCTTTGTATACAGACTCAAACTTTCTATTTAATACTATAAATACACCCAGGCTGCGTACCAGTATAATTTAGGCATCTACATACATCGTCTTTCAGTCAATATCTTTTGACATCTTCAACAACTATTATATTCAAACTTAGTAAATTGACATAAATTGATTACCAAAACCATCCTCATGATCTACTTCGTCTATTACTGATAATATTTAAATATGGTATAAAAAAACTAAATTCGTATATTTTCCATTAGGCAAGTTTGTCTATTTGTAAAAATTGATTGATGTAAATTGATTTCTCCCTATGAAATAGCGTCGAGTCCATTTTAAAC